CCTCTTTGTCACTCCCCCTCTTTGCGGAGGAACGACACAGGACCCTGCGCTGTTCTTTTGTCTGCTCGGCCCTTCCCGGGTTTGCTGCTGGTCCTTCCCGGGTTGGCTGCCGACCTCTCCACCTCCGTGGAGGGGCAGTACCCCCTGCCACTTTCCCCGCTTCCGCGGAGGAGCGGCACACCGCTGGCCGGCTCTCTCGGGGGCTGCTCAGGTGTTCCTTCAGATGTTCCTGGTGCATGTTGTCTCTCTCCTCCTTTATAGTCCTCTTCCACCAATCCCAACTCTGCTACCCACATGCCGAGCACGCTGCTCTCCTCCAATCAGGAGCAGGATCAGCTCCTGCAGCTTATCAGTCAAATTGGCGGGAGGCAGCTGCATAGAAGTTTACTCCTCCCCAGCGCCATATTGTGGGAGAGCAGATGCATAGAATAAGTCTTAATTCCAGTAACTTAGTCTAGTCTCAGTTGCTCCCCACACCTCTTCACTCTTCCGTCTGGGTTTCCTTAGGTCTTTCTCTTCCGTTTGCACAGAGGTGGGTGTCACACACGGGGCTTTCTGGAAGCTTGCTCTGGTTCCCACGACACCGCCCCTTTTGTGTGGCTGTGCTCCAGGAATCAGAGGCCCGGGGTGGTGGGCGGGGCCCCTTGGCCCTGACGGGGTCCTCCCTTGGATCCTTGGGGGACGGGAGGGCAGCGCCTGGTGCCCAACCCCGACTTCACCATCCAGGCCTCCACTTTGCACAGCTCCGGCAGCCTGCAGGGCCAATTTCTGTCTTCCTCTCAGACCTGTTATCTGCTGGGCAAACCGGAAGTCACAGAGTCACTCCAGTGACCGACAGACAGGCCTTGTTTCTTGGCCTGCACGGTGCTTGGCATCCATCACTTGCCTGCTTTAAGCGCCCCTCCCCCACTGCGGCCCTGCACCACCCGTAGGGCATGGCCCGCGGTGAACTTCAGTGCACGTGGCCGTGGGTCCTGCCCGTTTTGGCCCCCACCTTATCCCTGATTCTCAGGGTGCCCCTGCAGAGCTGGGAGGGCAGCGTGCACATCACCCAAGGACGCCGGCCTCCCCTGAGGGCGAGGCAGGGTCCGGAATGTTTCGCAAGAAGTGTGGTAGCCACTTGTCGAATCATCTTCTAGTCTCTCTGACTCCTCTCCTGGTTGCCTCGGCTTGAACCACATCGATCGCCCCTTTTTCCTGTAAGAACACTGAGATCAGACCTGCTGAGCTGCTGGAAGCCTCCGCTCTTTGGCTTGGTAACTCGAAGCCGCCTCAGCTGCTCCGCTATTTGAAGTGGAAATGTGTTCAGCTGTGTGCACGCAGGAGCCTCGTGTAGCTGGGACGGCCAAGCAGCTGGGGCAGCTCCACAGGGGATCACGTTGATTTTTCCCATACTCAGCTGCTTAATTGGGCGTTTGCTGCTGGTGGACCTGGTGAGGCACCGGGGCCCTCTTGAAGGCTCTGTGGCAGCTTCCTTGCCGTCAGGCGTGGGTTGCAGAGCAGATCTGCCCAGATGGACTTCCCTAGGCACCCCAGGGACCCCGACTCCTGCCAGTGGAGAGGTGAAAACACCAGGAGCAGATGTGAGGACGTTGCTGGCTTTTCCGGGAGCCCAGAGCACAGTGGCAAGAGCTTAACCACCTGCAGGTGCAGGAACTTCGGATGAAAAATAAAAGTGCATTGCAGCGTGGCCACGGGGCCAAGCCGTCTTTGTGTTAGGTCCTCCATCAACTTAGCCTTGAATAGCCGTGTGCTAGAATTTCCAACATAATTTGCAACAGTGCCTTCCCTTTTGCTAGGGGAGTGACAGCAGTAGCCGGGTTCAGGGCTGTGGACGTGAATGGGAGCTCTCAGACGTGTGTTAAGGAGCCACCTGTGCACCACGTGCTTGGTGTTGTGACTCCAGTGGCTGGCACGCAGGGGCCTGCTCGGAGCAGGTGTGAGTCGGGTCTCCTGACTCTGTGCCTGCTCTGTCTACCACCCTGCACTTTTGCCTTTCAAGATGTCATTTAAAACGTTGAAGACGCAAGTGACTATTCTGTCTGAGAAATGTGAAGGCGTCTGCTTCTTGCTGGGAAAGTGAAATTGTCCAGGCAGGGCTCATCTAGCAGTTGTAATGGACTCATCTGGGAAGAAGCGCTACAATGCTTCCTTTGGTTACTGTGAGTTGCACCAGGCTGTGTCGGCTGCGGGAGCACAGAGACTCGGGCCCTGCTCACCTCCGAAATGGACAGGAAGAGCAGTTAAGTGTCCAGCTGCTAAGTTTGGAGTTGCGGTAGACAGGGAATCCTCATGGAAGTTATCACTGCTTACAACATGGCTGCTTCTGCAGGAAGGGGAGAGTAACCCGAATCTGGCATTCAAAGACAGGCTCAGGCGCAGAGAGTGCCGGTCACCAGATGGCTTAGGACGCAGCTGTTTTTATCCCTTGGTTCTTTAATCACAGAGGAGCCCGAATCTCTGTGCCAAATTAACTCCTGCTATTAACTTAGCTGATAGGCTCCTCACTGCTGCTTATAAGGTTCTGAAACCAGGGCTAGAGGCTTTCTTTTTTTGAAAAAAAAAAAAAAAAGATTTTATTTATTTGAAAGGCAGAGTTTCAAAGAGAGGGAGAGAGAGAGGTCTTCCATCTGCTGGTTCACTCCCCAAGTGGTTACAATGGCTCTGGCTGGTCCAGGCCAAAGCCGGGAGCCTGGAACAGGATCAGGGTCTCCCATGTGGGTGGCAAAGGCCCAGGTATTTGGGCTATCGTCTGCTGCCTTCCAAGGCGCGTTAGCCGGGAGCTGGATCGGAAGTGGAGCAGCCGGGACGTGAGCCGGCGCTCATGTGGGTGCCTACGTCCCAGGTGGAGGCTTAACCCACCCAGCGCCGGCCCTGGGGCTCCTTTTGGTCAAGGTGTCTGCAAGGGTGCTTTGCTCAGGTGCCTCCGCCCTCCGCCCCTCCCCCCTGTGAAGGGTTTTCATTGTCCATACTGTGTGTCTCCTGGTCAGTGTCTGCCTGTGCCTGCTCAGCTCAGGCAGGGATGCTTGTGGTCCCACGTGCAGGGGGCTGCAGAAAGAGGAGATCCCCAAAATGGTCTCTGCCACCAGGAAGAGAAACCCAGGGGGTGAGGTCTGTGTCGCTGGGCCCTCCGTGTTGGCCGCCCTGCTCGGCTGTCCGGCACTCCCACCTTGCCCTGCGTGGTGAGGACGGAGGCGGCGGCCCCGGCTCGGGGCAGCTGGTATGTGCCGGGCTTCTGGCCGCGTGGGGTTCAGCGCCTCATTCGTCTCGCTGTGGGCTCTGGGTTTTGAATCCCGCTCGCCTTTGAGTGCTGGTTTCCAAGGGACTGGCGTTGTGAGTGTGCGCGCTCTTCCGGATCTGTCTAAATTCATTATCACGTTTGCTGATCTGTCTAAATTCATTATCACGTTTGCTATGGTTCTAGCTCTGGAAGATAGTAACTGATGGTCAAAATTCTGCTCAGAAATCCTTAAACGCTCTACAAATAGTTTCCTATCCTAGCCACTAGGCATTGGTGAGTTACACTTTCTCCCCAGATAAGGAGAAAGGTGACTGATATCTTGTAACAATTACTGGTACCCCTAGAGAGAGAGATTTTTAAAAACATGTGGACCTGGGTATTTTTGTGGTGATACACTGACAGCGCTGGCATTCTTAAGAGAAGTCCATCGGAGTCCATCGTAGCTTAAACAAGCCTGGAGGAGAAGTTATTTCAGTAAATAGCTAATAAAAGATAATTTGTCATAAGCTGACGTTTTTTCTTAGACTTCCGTAACCAATGAATTGGCCAGTTGGTGTGGTGCATTATCGGTGTTTGCTTTTTTTACTTCCTGAAAGGAAATTAACAATTCTGCCTTTCTGAGGTTTGTAGGGGTTTAGTGTGATTTCTTCACACACATTAGGGCTTCACTCGCGGGCAGTTAGCAAGTGTTCCACTGACTATGCACGAGGCTGAGTCGGGGGGGAGGGATAGCCCTGCCCACCCCCCGCACCCCAGCCTCCGTGGACCAGCTGGCCAGGGAGAGGCTGTGTTCTCTGTTTCTCAAGGAGTCCCCGCATCTCCATCAAAGCACACTGACCCCACAGCCCAGACTTAGTCCTCTCAGGAACCTCCTCGGTTAGTCTACCCCACTGGCCCTGGGTACAAGTGGCAGACATTCTAACCTTAACCGAAGGCTGAGCTGTCCTCGCCAAATGCACGGCCCTGAATTTTCCTGTGGCTCGTCTGCAAAGCCGTTTCTTCTCACCATTAACGTGGGTACATTGATTATTTTCATAGCAACTTTTTAATCTTTATATATTTATTGTTTAAAATATCGCGTATGTGATAAGTGCTGGACCGAGACAGACAGGGATGTGTATCCATTACTGTACGAATTGCATGAAGGGCAGGGCGTCCCAGATTGAGAGACGCACAGGTTTGCTGCTAACGAGGCACAGTGGTCAACCTGCGTTTCCTATGGGAAGTCTGTAAAAGTAGGTGTTTGAGACAAAGTTGAACTTTGAGAACTCTTGCAAGATTAATCTATTTTAAAAACTTTGTTTATTCGAAAGGCTGAATTACAGAGGGATCTTCCCTCTGCTGCTTCACTCCCCAAATGGCTGCAACAGCCATGACTGGGCCAGGCTGGAGCCAGGAGCCTGGAGCTGCATCTGGATCTCCCGTGTGGGTGCAGGGGCCCAAGTCCCTGCTGCTTTCCCAGGCACGTTAGCAGGGAGCTGCATCGGAAGTGGAGCTACTGGGGCTCACACTGGCACTCCTGCGGGTGGTGGCTTAGCCCACTGTACAATGCTGACCTCAGGATTAATATTTTCTGTTATTGCCTTCCCAGCTCTTTGGGGCCACATAGAAGAGGGAATCTGGGGGTCTCCAACAAGTTCATGGACAATGTGCATTGTTTTTAATGCACATGTGTTTGTCATGAACCCTTTGGGGTGCCCTGCAGCACTGCCTATGTCCACCTCGCCTGAAGCCCGCTTTCTGCCTGCTTGTTTTTCAGAAATGTGAAAATAAAAACCGGAGAGTGGTTCTTTGAGGAGCGAGCTAAGAAATTTCCAGCTGAAGGTAAGTGCTCTTGAACTTTTTACTGGAGTACGATGATAGACTTCTGCTGTCATCAAATGCTGGGGTCAAGACTTCTGAGCAGAAAAAAGTGTAGTGGGGCTTGGTGTTGTCGTTGGGAGATGACAACATGTTAGGGGCTGGGGTGGCTTTGCTGACAATTCCTGGCATGAACGGCTTCCGGTCTACAAAGTGGAAAAGGCACCCACTGTGAGACAGGAAGCAGGAAAAACAGCAGTGGGAGAAAAGCTGGTGGGTGCGCATCGGGCTCCCTCGGGTCACAGGTTGGTTGACTTCAGGTCACCTAGGGTTGGGTGGGTTAGCATCGGGCTCCCTCGGGTCACAGGTTGGTTGACTTCAGGTCACCTAGGGTTGGGTGGGTTAGCATCGGGCTCCCTCGGGTCACAGGTTGGTTGACTTCAGGTCACCTAGGGTTGGGTGGGTTAGCATCGGGCTCCCTCGGGTCACCTAGGGTTGGGTGGGTTGGCACCAGGATATTCGGGGTACTGGTGGGTTGACATCAGTTTATGTCACAGTCCCTGTGGTTTGGGCAGGCAGAGGGCACTCCTGTATTCCCCTGAAGGAGGTGGACGGGACTGCTGTTTGCCGGAGCAGCTGGCCTGTTTTCAGATCCGTCAGCTTCCTCAGAGTTTGGGTGTTTGGGTTTGGTGTGGCATGCAGTACAAGTGCCTCCCCTTGGACTGGTCTGGTCTGTGGGGCCAGCGCGGGAACTCCACGCAAAGCAATGGCCTCTCATAATTTCTTTCTTTATTTTTTTAAGATTTATTTTTATTTATTTGAAAGATAATTACAAGAGAGAGGTAAAGACACACACACACACACACACACACACACACAGATCTTCCATCTGCTGGTTCACTCCCCCAATGACCGTGACAGCTGGAGCTGAGCTGATCTGAAGCCAGGAGCCGGGAGCTTCTTCTGGGTCTCCCACGTGGGTGCAGGGGCCATCCTCCTCCACTTTCCCAGGCCATTAGCAGGCAGCTGGATGGGAAGCGGAGCAGCTGAGAATTGAGCTGGCGCCCATAAAGGATGCCGGCGCTGCAGATGGTGGCTTAACCTGTCTCTCAGGCCTGTGCCTGGTCCACTGTGTCACCGTCTCTCAGGCCTATGCCTAGTCCACCTGTGTCACCATCGCTTGGGCCCATCCCTGTCCACCTGTGTCACCATCGCTTGGGCCCATCCCTGGTCTGCTGTGTCACCATCTCTCGGGCTTGTGCCTGGTTTGCCTGTGTCACCGTCTCTCGGGCCTGTGCCTGGTTTGCCTGTGTCACCGTCTCTCAGGCCCATCCCTGTCCACCTGTGTCACCATCCCTCAGGCCCATCCCTGGTCCGCCTGTGTCACCATCTCTCAGGCCCGTCCCTGGTCCGCCTGTGTCACCATCTCTCGGGCCCGTCCCTGGTCCGCCTGTGTCACCATCTCTCGGGCCCGTCCCTGGTCCGCCTGTGTCACCATCTCTTGGGCCCGTCCCTGGTCCGCCTGTGTCACCATCTCTCGGGCCCGTCCCTGGTCCGCCTGTGTCACCATCTCTCAGGCCCATCCTTGTCTGCCTGTGTCACCATCTCTCGGGCCTGTCCCTGGTCCGCCTGTGTCACTTGGGGAAGTTTCCTGCCCCCATCCATTCACTAAACGCCGGCCATGACCTCTGTGTGGTTCTTCCTCCCTCCCGTACCTCCGTGTCCGCCTGCTGAGAGAGGCCCACGCTTTCAGGTCCATGCTGCACGAAGTTGCCCTGACTTTCTGCTTCCTGGAGCGAGGATCCCCCTCCTCTGGAAATCCAGCAGCTTCCGTTTCAGTCCCTCAAGTGCCCTCAGTACCTGGGGCTGGGTCAGGTCGAAGCCAGGAGCCTGGAACTCCATGCAGACCTCTCGCGTGGGTGGCTGGGATCCTGCTGCCTCCCAGGGGCGCACTGGCAGGCAGCTGAATCGGGAGTGAAGTCAGAACTCAAACCCAGGTGCCCTGACGTGGGAGGCAGACGTCCCAAGTGCTGCCTTACCCACTGCGCCCAGTGCCTACCCCTGCCCCGTGCTTTTAAAATGTTGACTCCCCGCAGCACCAAGCCCCAAGCATAGTACCTCGTTGGTGACACTTGATCAGAACGGTTGACTCTCTGGAGACCACAGAGAGCAGGTGACGTCAGAAGTGATGGCAGCGGGCACGTGTGACGTGTGGTGCCAAGGGCACTATCTTGTCACAGGGTGCATGCCTGTAGCCAGTAGCCAGGATTCAAAACCATGAAGAGAGAGAGTTGTGCCAGTCAGAGTGTGACAGAGAGCCGGACAAGGTGTACACGTGTCAGTGCCATCAGGTGAGGCAGCGTGACGTGTGACTGACAGCTGTCTGCAATGGTGATGCGGTGGCCCTCTTCCTCTGTCACTGTAATGACACAGGCGAGCCCAGACTCTCATTCTGATCTGGAGGGCGCAGTGTGGCCCCACTCTTCCTAGAAGAGGTGACAGTTTGAGGACAAGGAAGAAGCGTTTAGCCTTAGGCAGAAGCGTGCTGGCAGGGGGGGAGGCCGCTTGTGTGAGCACAGTGGCCGGTGGCCGTCCAGTCCCCGCCTCTGGGCACTCGGGACATGGCGGCGTTTCTGCAGGGCCTGCTGGAAGTCTGCAGGAAGCCAGGAGCCTCTGACGTCAGCAAGGCCGCGTTTAATCTCATTGTCACCCGGCCATACTGGGCAGATGCTTCCTCCACCCACTCCGTGACATCTGATACCCCAGACACTGAGCCTGTGTGTCCCCAGAGAGCCCCAGCCCAGGTCCTGCCTGGGGTGTGCTCGTCCTCCGGGTGCCAACTGCTGCGCCCTGCAGGTACTGCCCGCCCCCTGCAGGCCAATCAGCCACAGCAAGCACCCAGCAGCAGGCGCTTTCTCTGGGTCTGTTGCTCTATCTATCTATCTATCTATCTATCTATCTATCTATCTATCTATCCATCCGTCTATCTATCTATCTATCTATCTATCTATCTATCTATCTATCTATCTATCCGTCTATCTATCTATCTATCTGTAAGTTACTTGGAAGGCAGGGAGAGGGAGGGAGGAAGAGAGACAATGCACTTCTACTCAAATGGTTGTAATGGCCAGGGTTGGCAGGCAGAAGCCAGGAGGCTACAACTCCATCTGGATCTCCTATGTGGGTGGCAGGGGCCCAAGCACTTGGCTCTTCTGCCGCTTTCCCAGGCATTAGCAGGGAGCTGGATTGGAAGTGGAACATCCAGGGCTCAAGCCAGCACCCTTTTGGGATGTGATGTTGCAAGCAGTGGCTTAACCCACTGCACCACCATGCTGGCCAAAATACTCTTGTGTCGGTATTCTGGGGCCTTCTTTAGGTGGTAGATGACCCCGCCTCCTTTCACTCAAATTCCTGGTTCAGAAATGCTAACACTGTAGCAGATGACATTCCCGAGCTTTCTCAACACTGACTCACTGAAGATGTGTCCCGTGTCCTTGGAAGTGTTAGCACCATTACTCCAGTTAGGCGAATCCGTTTCCAAGGCAGGGCATGTGTGTGTGTATGAACGTGTGTGGTGTGTGTGCGCACATGCATCTACGTGTATGTGTAGGCATGAATGTATGTGTGAACATGAGGGCATGTACACAAGGGTGAGTGTGTAGGGATGTGATAGTGTGCACAGCTGTGAGTGTGTGTGCATGTGTGCACAGATGTGAGAATGTGCCTCTGTGTACATATGTGTGTGCAAGTGTGCACATGTGTGTGAAAGTGTGCACTGTGTGATTATGGGAGTTAGAATACACATGTGGGCATGCATATGTGTATGGGTATCAGTTTGTGTACAGGTATATACATGGGCGTGAACATGTGTGCATGTCCACAAGGGTGAGTGTGTGTAGGGATGTGATAGTGTGCACAGGTGTGTGTGTCTGCATGTGTGCACAGATGTGAGAGTGTGCACTGTGTGAGCATGGGGGTTAGAGTACACGTGTGAGCATGCATATATGTATGGGTATCAGTGTGTATGCATACATATACATGGGTGTGAACGTGTGTGTGCCTGTGTACAAGCGTGCATGGTGTGAACATGCGTACCGGCATGCACATAGGTGTGAGCACGTGTGCATGACGTGAGCATGTGTGTGTACACATGTGTGTGTGTGCATGGGTGTGAGAATGCACGGGGTGAGCATGTGTGTGAGAGAGTGCGCAGTGTGAGCGAGTGTGTTCCTGCACTTTACCATCTCATGTCCTTGCAGCGCCTTGTCTTGCGCGTGAGTAGCAGAGGTTACCGTGGTGCTTCACTTGCAATAAGGAGGGGAGGAGGAAAGAGAAAGCTGACACCTTGAAGCTCTCTGTACTGTCCAGCAAGTCCACAGGAAGGGAAATTTCAGACAAAAAATTGGGAGGACATTCAGCCTAAGCATGAACCCTTCTGTTTCACTTAAGATGTAAAACGCGTGCACACACGCACATACACGCACACGCGCACACCCTGAAACCCCAGAGCCTGCCCACCTCCAACAGTCTGTGTTGCTGAGCTGTCTCGTTGTCTCGCTCTTCTCGTTCGGCAGAGTCGGGCTCGGGAGGCCTGGGCGGAGGGAGGAGCCAGCCAGGGGGAGAGGAGGCAGGCCTGGCGGGGTGAGGTTTGCAGCAGGTGGTCAGGACGGGTCCTGGGGGCCAGCTGAAGAAGGCTTCCAGAGCTCATCGGGAGGTGCCCTGCCTCCATTCGGGGCCCTAAAGGGGAGCCTGCGGCAACCCCTGGGCACGTGAACTGACCTGTGCTGTCGCCGAAGGGCAGGTCAGGCACACAGGAATCGCGTGGTTACTCACTGAGGCTTCGATGTAGGGGTTAAACAGGACTGGAGAGGCAAGAGTGAGCCGCAAGGGAAGCAGACATGCACCATGGGAAGCAATACCATCCCAGGCCTAGTGAGTTGCTCTGGACTGGGCAGGAGGGGAACAGGAAGGAATGGACCTCCGTCCTTGAGCTCCCTCCAGCAGCCCCCCCTGCACCCTAGCAG